TCCCTCCTGCCGCCCCTCTCCACTCTGGTGCGAGTGCGCCTTTTGCCCATCCTCCCTCCTGCCACCCCCCCGGGCTGCCCCATGGAGCCCTGCGCTCTCCCCTCGCAAACATGGTTCGTTTGAGGCCCTCACTTCTCCCTGCCTTCTCACACAGGTAAACAGAGTAGGCATGTGGAGTTGTTTCAGCTGCTGAGATATAGTACAGCAGGGTAATCCCTGTTTACAACCATTGTCATCTACTGAGGTGTTGGGCTATAGAAGTGAAGTGATGGAAAGTAGAAGAATCTTTCCTTATGTTAATCTCTGGAAGAGACAACCAGTACAGTCATTGCCTCTTTCAAGCGTTCACCCATGTATCCTTGTTCTACATTCCTTGGAGAGAACCAGCGATACTATCCATGAGGTCTTTTAACTTTCCTATGAATTGCCTGCAAAAGCCTGTGGAAAGCAGTTGAGGCAGTGAGACGTATGATCCTTTCCAATCAATATGCCTGGAGGGAGGTGATATAAATCATTGATCTAAAATGGTTAGTGACTGCATCTTTGTTTCATACAGATTGAAGTGGACCTTGGCAAAAAGTGCTGGTATCATTCAATATTTGCTTGCCCCATCCTTCGTCAGCAAACAACAGATAATAACCCACCTATGAAGCTGGTTTGTGGTCATATTATATCAAGAGATGCTCTAAATAAAATGTTTAATGGCAGCAAGTAAGTCAAAATTCAATTCACAGAGAAAATTGAATTAATTTTTACTTTAACATATATTTGGAAATTGGGTGTGAATTTTAACAAATATTGGCAAGAAGACAGAAAGTAAGAGAAATCTCTGGAAATGATCTATTATAGCAGCATGCCAGAAGATTGAGTTGCTACCTGATTTTATAGAAACTTGCATAGTGCTCCATAAACTTCTGATATTTTAAACCAATCTTCCCCAGCCTAGTATTCTCCTTTGTATTGATTACAGCTCTTATCATTTCCACATCTGAAAGATTCCTAATTGGGAAATATGTTCCAAGTGACAGGAAATAGAATGCAAAATATCAGAGTGAATGATGAGTGATTTCTGTCCTTAGATGTAGGGAGGGTTGTTGACATAGGATAAGCCTCAGCTCCCAACCAGAAGTGGAATTGCTTGCGGCAGGTTCTCAGAGTGCAAATTAAACCATTTTTCTGTTACTTCTTGGAGGGATTCATTCATCTAGATACTCTTTATTAAATAGTTGGTTTGGCAGGAGAGATGACAAGGACAGAATAGGAACAATGTAAGCAAAGAAAGAAGTGGAAGTGCTTCTCCTTTGGACTCCTGTTTCTTTTTTAGCCCATTTTCCTGTTCATTTTGCAGATACACAAAAGGTAGCTGAAATGTTCATTTTTTTAAAGTTCAGATTTTTTAAAATGTATATCTCCTTTAAGGAATCAAACCATTTGTCAATTGAGCCCAGCCCTATCTATATTGACTGACAACAACTCTGGAGTGGTTTAGGATAGACTTAAATATAACAGTGAATGTGATGTGTTAAGTTCTTCAGGCAACCCAGTATAAAAATCCCAGCTCCACCCCCTTCTTCCACGTAATGGGTTACATAGGTTTCCCATCACTGCAGCAGGAAATGAGAGCAAAATCTATTTTTTAAATGTACTTTGGGTTTTTTTTGAGAAAACATAATTGTTTTCTCAGAAGACTTGAGAATGATTTAGTCTTTCCTCATTTACAAAAACAGTCGAGATCAGTAGTATCATGAAACTGATCTAAAGGGAGATCAGGTATAAAATCAAAAAAATCAGGAGCCCCAAAGTTTAAAGTTTGCTAGAATAAAGAAATCTTCATGTGGTGGCAAAAAAGTCCTAACCCTAACCATAGTGAGAAGATTCTCCCAACCAAATGTTTCTGTTGTCGCAGTACATAGTGTAGCTTCTCCTACAGATCTTAATGCACAGGTCTGTTCATATGTGAGGAGCTGGTCTTTCATGTACTAAGTTGTTCATGGCTTTAGAGGTGATAACCAACATTTGAAATGGTCCAGGAAATGCATTTGAAGACAGTGAAGCTGTTGTACCAATGGGGCTCACATGACCTGACAGTTGATTCAGATCAAGATTTTAGGGCTGCTTTTGGACCAGCAAATGCTTCTGCACACTTCTCAAAGGATTTGTGTCTTAAGTCTCACTTTGTCATTTTTACAGCAATCCTAAATTCATCTTCCTACCTATCTGGAGGTTGAGTCATGGCAACTGGACTTCTTTTCTTTTGTTTTGATACATTTTGCTGCTTGTCCAAGCAGCTTCTTCAGTCTAGAAAGTTGGTTAGGGGGGACCCCATAAATGTCTTCTAGGGTGGCTGTGTTTCTCACTAACCTAATGGGCTCATTGAAGGGACAATAGGAG